GATAATATTTATCCGTCGGATAGCGCTAACCACCCTTCGTACAAACGGGCCCGCCTGAAGAACATCTTATATCTACAGTTTATGATAAATAATCATTGCCAGGTAATCTTACGCTACATCTTTATCATCACCAACATTATATAGTTTTCGTAGGAGTGGGAAACATACGGTAATGACTTAAAGCAGGTACGCGGTACGACAAGTCGTAACATTGAAATGTCTTCCCATAAGAATGGTTATCGTATGAGAGGGAAACATACGGTACTGACATACAACACATACACGGTACGACATGCTGTAAGATTGAAATGGCTTCCCATAAAAATGGTTATCGTATGAATGGGAAACATACGATACTGACTTACAGCACGTACACGGTACAACGTGCCGTAACACTGAAATGGCTTCCCATTGCCTTCGATTAATTCCTCCATTAACAACGCGCAGTCACGGCTACGGTAAGATAAGCTATGTCTACAGTGCGGCAATATTAGACTGATTTGCCATACCGTTTCCCACTCTTACAAAACCGCGAGCTCTGCCATTGTGAGTGTCAACTATATCATCATCATCATCATCGCCAACATCATTTCTAATTAGCATCATCAGCAGTAACATATAGSTTTGAATATTGTATTGCTTGTTGCACTGAATAGGTTTGATTTGCTAACGTTATGGAAGGAAATCTATATAGTTAATTTTATAGTTTATGTAATCAGTAAGTTTATTTGTAATTGTCTCAGAATTTAAATTTATTTTTGACATTGAGGCGTTAAAACAATTTTTAGCTTACAGCTTGATGTGCGATGTCTTTAAGGCCGGCCAGGAAAGCCTAAGAAGCTTTAAAAAATTACCTGGTAATGTATTACCAAACCCGTCAGTCGAAATGGTGTTCCAGCCCATTCGTTCATGTCTGAGTAAGAGCATATTGCCTGGTAATGGTATCATGTCAATGCATATGGTACACCAATCAATGTCTTAATAGGATTAGAAAAGTTCCAGGTAATGGCATGCCAYTAAGTCAATTACCATACCTTTATTTTCAGTTAATGTCAGAAGAGAAATAAATAGTTCCTGCTAATGGTATGCCAAGTCAATGGTACATCAATCGATGTCTTTAAGGGATTAGAATAATTCCTGGTAAAGGCATGCCAAGTCAATTACCATACCTTTATTTTCAATTAACGTCAGAAGAGAAATAAATAGTTCCTGGTAATGGTATGCCAAGTCAATGGTACAATTATTTATCAACGTATTAATAGTTTCTAACATTGGTATGCCAAGTCAATTACCAAGCCTTTCAATCAATAACTGAAGAGAAATAAAAAGTTCCTGGTAATGGTATGCCAGCAGGTCAATTACCAAGGCCTATCAATCAATRTCTGAAGAGAAATAAATAGTTCCTGGTAATGGTATGCCAGGTCAAGTCCGAAGTCTGCCAAACTAATGAAGACTTTATCAATATACCAACTAATGTAAACATTCCTAGTAATGGTATTCAAAGTCTGACATAAACAATACAAGTAAAAACGAGAAGTCCAATCGCATTTAAGATCACAGTCAGTACTGTAAAGAGTGAAGCGGCATTGTATATGATGGTTGCTTCTTACTTTATATCTTAGTTATTATTTGAGGAAGTTTTAGAACGAGAAGCGAAGGAAAAAAAAAAAAAGAAAAAAAAGAGAAAAACTTATAAAAAAAAGAAATTTATTTAGAACCATCACTCCACTACATGCACTATTAACAACACGCACCCCATTTCATCTTATTTAACTTTAGCGCGCAGCGTTTAAATAGTAAACACTATACTTATTAACTCACATGTTGATTTTTACCGAGGAAGGAAAATCAAAAGAAACTTTTAGTCAAAAGAAGGTTAAAACATTTAAGTTTTGGATGCTTCGGGGTTGGCCAATCTTCCCTTCTTTCGTTTTTTCGTTCATTCTTTCCATTAATTCCTGTTTTTGAAATAATAATTTATAGGAAATAGGTGCGAGATGCTTTGACGCGCTTTAGCAGGACCGAAACATTTTAAAATTAATTTTCTAGTGTGTTTTTAATTTGAATTTTCGCCTTTACTTCCCGTCTGAGTAAATGTCACCAGGAAGATTCCACGCTACATGCTGCTTCAGCCTTGTTTGGACTTCATATGCAAACATTCATACCAAACTCGATAGGTAAAGAGGGCCAATTTAATTATGCTTAATAACACATCAATATTGTTAAGTAGTCTGTCTTTGCTTTGGGTGAAGCGATCCGAGAAGAATAGATATCAAAAATATTTAATGCAGCCATATGAAAAAAGCGCGCCAATTGAAAACTCAAGGCTAAATCCACCGCATTGATCTCGTTAGTGAGAAAATTCAAAGGCCATAAGACGATCAACTTAGATTAAGCACACAACCCATTTTATAATTAATCTAACGATTTTATAATTAATCTAAGACTTTTATTGACCGCGGGAGTTAAAGACTTGACATGTGGGACACTTCTTTTGTCTAGAATTGTTTTGGTGGATGCCAATAAAGGATTGAAGTTATGAAATACGATTGTAAGATCACAATGAGTTGGATTTGCAAAGGTTGGGGATACGTGCTTTGATGGTAAAACTACCCTGCACTAGGATTTAAATTCGCGATGGAATTTTTTGCGTTGAAAAGTTAGTTCTGTCAGTGATCCAAAGCTTCATTTCACTTCCAGCTTTTTTAACTAATTATGAGAAAATTAGACGTGTTCCAAATATCTCGGTTACTTTGGTTACAGAAGTCGGCCGAAGTTATTTCGTAGTGAAACATACAGAGCAAACAAATCTAAAATGAACTACTTAAGAACTTCAGACGTCGTCAATTTTCCAGTGGTCCTGTTCACCCGATCAAAAACACTCCCCAAGACGAGCGAATTAAAAGTCAGGAATGTTGTATTGTTAATACAAGTGCTTGACGAGATAAGTAACGACCTGGACAGACCTGTCAGGGATGGATGCAGAAATCTAAACAGTGAAAAAAGAAAGTAAACCTCTCTGAGACGCGAAGCAACAAGAAGGCTTTAAGGGAATAAACTGTCAGAGTCGTAATGAATGGCCTTTTCACCCCCAAGTTAAAATCAAAGGATTAGTTATTTTAGTTCTATCGTTGGTTTAKATGATACAGCGAGGTGCTGAAGACCAGACGATAGTTTAAGCCACGCATCCCTTGTTCGTATTGATAGAGTGTCAACATTTGCAGCTCGCAACAGAGTTATATATATTTTTTGTCTTAATTAGTTTTGTCGGTGTACAGGAATATTTGCGTACCGGGAAAACAGCTTTTTTAATTTCATCAACAAAGGCATTTATGTCAAAATTTCGTTCTTAAAGTTATATAGCATGTGTCTGTAAGATGCGTTTAAAAACTTCCCATGCTTGTGATTTTATGACCGACTTTGGAATAAATCTTTTGACGCCAAGGTATCTTAAGAGGCGCGCGCGCGCATGTAATATGAAGCATTTGTCCTTCTCTGATTCTATTTTCTTTTGTTATTAAATTGAAAGCGAAAAAAAAATCTTCCCTGAATAAAGAAGGGAGAGAGATTTAAATAGAGAGACTTCCCAAGGAACATCTGTTTCTGCAAGCACGCTGAACATTCCCTCAAAAACCTTGAACTTTATATTCTGGTGGTATAAATCATTTGCAACCTGATACCGATCAAGGCTTTTAAACCACTTAAGCTAGTCATAGATTATCTGATGGGTGATCTGCGTTTATAGACAATCCATCCTTTCTGATAGCAGGTCTGATATAAGGTCGACTTTGGGGCAASCATACTCCAGGCAAGTACTGTGAGTACATCGGCTTTGCGCATTTAAAGAAAATATAAATACTGTGTTATCCGAACTAAAGCAATAACCATCGCGTTGCTATGAACTAGTTAAAAGATGTCAATGCTTGACATGGATTAATGGGTCGTTTCGAAACAAGAGTGGGTCTTGAAGCTTACGATTATACTTTAAATTTCGTACACGACGCGAAATCTAATCCTATACACGGCATTTTTAAAGAGTTYAGGTTTAATGGGGATATCGTTAGGWTAGGTATCCTGCTWTGGCAAGACYARAGGATTCTTTTYTTCTTCTTTATTACGCTTGTATACTATCACCGACCGAGGTGACATGCCGGACCGGAAGAAAAAGAAAACTTCTGCTTCAAAAGGTTTTTGTCTTGCGAAATAAAAATAGATTTCGTGATGAAATTATTGACTCAGACACTTAAACATGAAAAATAAACAGCGCTTATGACTGAGAGGAATAGAATTTACGGATGAATTTACGTAGTTTTCCAGTTTTTATTCAARAACCCGGAAAGAGGAAACCGACGCTCAGTTAGAGGCAAACGCATTTGCAAAAAAAGCCTTCAATTTCAGAGATAAGTTTACATGTTATGAGCAGAAAATAAAAAAGCTTCCGCAATGATTATRTGTCTATTGTTGTTCTTGTCCAGGGTATCATTGGCTTTTGGGCCGATATAGAAGACCGGTCGCTTTCAATTGAGTTGTGTTTTTTTGGGGGGGTCTCTAAGCGGTGCCGACAAGTGAGGTCAGACAAGCAAATCACAGGATTGTTGAGAAATAAATCGCCTACAAGGACCAACGAATAGCGAGAAACATCTTGAGGTTAAGAGGCATGAATTAAGACCACAGCGAAATCAAGCAATGCGGTCCAAACAGAGCTAGATTGATTTGCGAGGGGATATGTCATGATATTTGAGAGCAGGTGATTCGATCTAAGCGAGAAAAGCGAACAGCCAATCAATGCCTTAGAAGRCAGTAAGAAAATATTTTAAGCTCAAAGCTGTAAATTAAATCAATGCTTTTAAAATATATGCAAAGCTGTTGTGAGCTCAAATGAACATYGTATGTGAGTTATTTGTTTGAGAGAAATGACATCTATTGTATTGGCCGGTCACGACCTGTTCCTTGAAAAAYCGGACCAGAAGAGGCTTTGAAGTTTGATTAAAGTTTAAATGGATGATAAAAAAGGCTTCATTTAATAACACAATAAAGAACGATCAAAGAAGCGGGTAACTCATTTATGCCGAGAATTACAAACAATCTATTCAAATGTACACAAAGAAACAACCCTGAGAAATCCGCAAATGGAAGCAGAGTTGAAATCTAATGACCCCCCCCCCCCCTCTAACTCATTAACCAAAAACCATGGCACCCTCTTCCTATTTCTTTTACAGACAGTCAAAAATAGACCCAAGTGAATTGGATTGTCGACAAATCTAATAAATCTAGACATCTCTATACAGATCTTATACAACAATAGAAATGGTTGTTTGCTCAATCGTTTCTTTGAAGYATACGATGTGCCGACGCGTTTTAAACTTGCCTAAACTAAAACCTTCAAACAGGGTTGAAAAAAAATATCTTCTGCGCTTGTAATTATCGAATAAAAATACCAATTTGACCCGAAAATCTGTCTTGGTCTTAGAGTGTTTACGAAGCAAAAAAATATCATCAACCGGTATGAAGTTGAGAAGTTATTAGCTGGGTTTAATTCTTTTCCGTTCGGTTTTTTTGGGAATAATCTTGGTAATTTGGCGCGCAAGTTTTCCAATTTTCTAAACCAATATAAGCGAGAAGAGAGCTGAGCTYGAGGTAGATCTGCTTAAAAACAGCCGTAAAGTCTGTAGGTTCACTATAAGAATTAAAACAAAACACGGTTTGAAAGAGCTTACTAAATATAAATGTCCTAGAGAGTTAAAGTTTGACGTTTGTCAAAATAGTAGTATATAATTTCATCTCAGCCCGACATATAAACCTAATGGGRGAAATCCATTTTGTTTTCATGACGTGAGGTAAGTATGAAAAGAGTAACGTTTTTCAAACCGCTCCAGGGGTTAGCTGTTGTCTTTTGAAATCGTTTCGCGGTCACTTGGTCAATCAATAGTTTACACCTTTTAAACTCATCACAAACCGCTATAAGACATCACGTATTGATCGGGGGGAAATTGAAAGCGGAATGAAGTTCCGCGCATTCCATGGTGATAGCGTACCAAGAAGACACAGGTTGATTTAAGTTCTCGGTGTATAGTTATATCTTGGATCCCCCATTCATGTTTGTGTCGATTCTAGAGCCCTTGGAATTCGAATCAAGTAACCTTCTAACATGAGTAGGCTCGGTGCAGGAATATTCCTCTAGATAATCCGCTCCGGATTGACGACCGCTATCGAGCCTAAGCATCTTTCGAAAAGCGTCTCGAAATTCCTTGTTATAAACAGCGTAGATGATGGGGTTAACGCTGCTGTTAAGGATAGGTAAGACAAAAACAAAAGGGATGCGAATGGCCAACGAGAATGCGGGATACTTTGCAAATCCCGAGAAGCAATCATTGGGAGAACACCACAAGCTGATGGTTATTATAACAAAAGCTGGAAGCCAGCATACTACGAAAACTCCGATGACAATCGCGATGGTCTTGGTCGCCTTGAGCTCGCGTACACTGCGCCTATGTCCTCGTCTGGTCGGGTCCTGCGATGCCAGCATCTTGGCCTGCATCAACGCGACCTTAAAAATCGAGGCATAAGTGATGATGATGATGACTAGTGGAATAAATATGGCGAACACAAATGTAGCTGTATAGTAAAAGCGGTCGTTTTTCTGACAGTAGTGTTCTCCTGTTGAGAAGACCCCGGTCCATGCTGGTTCTTCCCCGTTAGACCAGTAGATTAGACTCAGCAGACCCCATGTGACCGCATAGACCCACACAAAAGTTATTAAACCCAGGCAAACCGTCTTGGTCATTTTTTCCTGATACGCGAACGGCTTGGTGATGGCGAGGAAGCGGTCGATTGAAATTATGACCAGGTTACAGATGGAAGCAGCGCTCCAAATACCGTCAGTCGAGACCCAAAACACACAGGTCGCAGTCGAAGAGCACCAGTTCATGTTGTGGACAGACTGGTCGATACGAAGGGGTAGCGACGCGAGCGCTACCAGAAGATCGCTTACAGCCAACGATACTATAAACATATTGGAGACCCTTCGAAGCCGTGCAAATACGTAGACAGAAAGTACGACGAGGCCATTACCAAATAGAGTGGCAAGCAAAATTAGTACCAAGAATGTGGTGTATACGATAAACCATGGTGAAGTGGGATTCTTGCAGAGCGCAAACGGATCAACAGTCGTAGTGTTGTTCATCGCTAGTTCTGCCTAGAAGTACAAGAATGCTCGTAGATTTTTYCCCCGGTATATGTACAGATTGAAAATGAGTTGCGATCCGATTGACGACTGATCCAAGGCCCACACTGACTGTCTTGACTAGGTATATATTCCTTGCCAACGAGCACTGCTAATTATCTAGTGACCAATAATGCCAAGGTAAATGGTATAATAGAGTTGTAATAACAACGTCGTCCTCGATAAACAAAGCCTAAAGCGAGTCGAGTTAACAGAACCCAAGTCACGAACTACACATACACCAGCTATTGACGTCCAAGRCTGCTTTGGTTACGTTGGAGCGAGTGACGATTCTGTTGATTGTATTAGAATTCATTAGCGTCGTTTTTGAACACGTTGCGCGCGGCAAATGGACAGATGTTGGAGTATTTGTGATTATTTGGAGTGGATGGTGAGTGTGAGTCGCGCGCTAAGCCTATCATTGACGTGGGTTTTCGCTCGGGTGGGCGGGTTTAACAATCTTGGATGATGTTGCCTCTTCGTACTGGAGTTATTTTTGGGGACAAAACTTCAATGGAAGATCAAAGTTCAAAGAGATTTGAAAAAGTTGCACAAACGTTTTGTTGGTAGGTGTGAATGTGTAGATTTGAAGTTATAGTAAACAAAGTTTTGACGGCTTTGACGCGCGATGATGAAAATCAGGGAACAAGCAGCGACGAGAAATTTCTGCCAAAATCCAAAGCATTCCGCGCAGCGCGTCCCATATGCCAAAAGAGACGATTTTCGATTTGAAATCGAATGCTCGATGACGGAAACTCAAAACCATTAATCAAACATTTAGAATACAAATAGTCGCCAACCACTTCAGTATACAACTAAGCACAGAGCGTCTATGCCTGCCAAAATCGTGTCAAAACGAGWATGAATATAGTTCCGCTTTAACTGTAGTCTTCACTGGACGTGTATGCCTAATGCCTGCCTAGCGAGCGACGTTAATCGCTTTCAGAGTCACTCATTGTAGTAGTTTTCGCTCTCCTTTCAGACTACGATTGTTTCTGACGTGTTCCGGTTAAAAACAATACTTGAAGAACGGTTCGACTAGTAAAGCTTATCTTCAACATCGTTCAATGAAATTGCTTTTTCACCTCTAGTGAATTGGTATATCTGTAAAGCTTTCTAAAAACTTACCGCTCAGACTATAATACTGACGGATTTTCTTCCCTTTTTTGATCTGTGACAGTTCAACAGTGAATAGAATGGATAAAGTAGCTAGTCGGCGTTTTGGTGTACGTCTGGCGCGAGTTAGTACGAACGATGAATTGTTTTAAGAAGAAAAAAATTGTCGCAAAAATTATTTTAYACTTCTGGTGTATCACTAGAATCAAGGCGGTTTATCAAGAAAAAAAAAATTAAGTGCAGTTGTGTCAACCTTAAAATGACCGGGTATATGTTTTGTCTTCAATTAGTTCCTCAGGCCATTGAAAAAATAAATGCAATATCGCTTCAGATAAGTCATTTTTTGGATCAAAATAAATTAAATAAAATAGAAGTAAAAGAAGAAGAAGAAGAAGAAGAAGAAAAAAAAAAAAAAAAAAAAAAAAAAAGAGAAAAAAGTAAATAAAATCATTAGATTTTGTTTTTGTTTTTGTACTAAATTGAAAGAAAGACGAGAGTTTCGGGTATTTACCAAAAAGTGATTGAATAAAATAATGAAACAATGCGATTCTTATTAGAACGAAAAAAATCTTCATTTGAATGAAAGGATTGCCAGATGCATGACAAGTTATATATCTTTTGGAGTGTTCGTTTGCATAACCCAGGCAATTAAGACAAGGCTTAAGGCTACACTCTCCTACGAAAAAGAACTTTTTATCTCAAGCTAGAAACTTGAATTCAAAACGAAATCACAGCCGATGAACATCATCCATCGACTCAACTTAAGCATTGGATTTCTCTATGTATGTATATACCTCTATATTATTATATTTTTTAAGCCTTAAGTCTTAAATTGTCAAGCTAAAGTGACYGAAATCTAGCGTGGTTTCATTCCGGAATTCTTAGCGAAAAGACGACAGTTATATGAAGAAAATAACCTCACATTTGCTGRAAACGGACAGTAACTGATTTGTGGAAAAAAGTATTGACGGATAGCGAAAATGTAGTCATTATCTATGGGAGTTGTGTGTGGCGGCTGTCAATAAAGAGGCATAAAAACCATTCGATTATTACTTCGTAAAATAGAAAATATTTTCTTTTGGTTGACTTAAATTGATTCTTAATGAAGAAAAATATCGMCAAATGAGTTAGCAGGAATGATTAGCATGAACACAAAGAGCGAAATTAGGTTTCACTGATATTTTCTTTTGTTCGAATTCAAAAGATTTTGTATGCTTCATGTTATGAGGTTCTATAAACGTTTTTACTTCACTTTTTGTCAAGTATTTTTTAGGAAACTAGTTCTGTCTTTACAAACCTTTTCAGCCYTAAATATATATGCGATATTTGTATAAATTAGGTATATTTAGTTGTTTTAAATGCGAAGAACTGTTTTGTTTTTTCTTTTTTCGATGATAAATCTTATGGTTAAAGAGGAGAAAATCTCTAAGATAGTAYTGTGTTAGTAGAGACACAAAAGAAGTATTATTGAATTTTGAAATCTTGAATAAACTTAGATAAAAGATATGATAAAAGATCCTCAGTAAGGAAAAAGATTTGATGACTTGAACGCGCGCGACGAAACTCGAAGCGAAGAGAAAACCCATTGAGAGATTTAAAATATATATATGAATATAAAAAGAGGGTTTTAAAATCACCGATGTAGAATGAAAAGAATATGTATTYGATGAATTAGGGGGAAAAAAGCCGAAGAAGGAAAGATTAACATGAAAAAGGCAATCTTACCAGTGTTTTCCCGCCAGTGATGAGCTCATAGATGGCAGAGAACTGATTAACTACACAAATCAAAGCATCTTCCACTAACGCTTTAAACCATCTTTCTGATCAAATCCCATCAAGTATTGAATCCCAAAAAGTTGTTCCGGAGTATTTCAAGTGCGCTTAAGCTGGTATTTATTACAAGTTAGTTAAGTGTGTTATTGTTCTGTATTTATGCAGGAGATATCGCGCCGAACAAAAGGACACGCCTAGAACTTCACCAGGAATGTCCGCTTCAAATGTCTCCCATACACACTTGGACTCTGTTATGAGAAAAACTTCTTAGTTACAAAGTTGATGTTTGTTTTCTTTAAACATGCTTCCTGTGATGTTTGGGTATATGAATATTAGAGTGATATTGTCCTAAGGTTTTGTATTGCTGCATGCACCTTCTAGACGCCTGTGGTATGGCGATAAACCTCAAAACCCAGAGTATCCCGAAGTAGGTTTAGGCTATTTCAACTACGATTACGCTCTAGTCGATTTTAACCAATATTGCACTCAAACAAAGTTCTCATTAATTCACCCATTCATTTAACTCTCTCGTATCTAATTTTCTCGAGATAATTTAGCCCTGGTTTGTGAATCGCTGCTAATTAAGGTAAATTGCTTAAGTTTTCAATCTCCAATTGCACTGTCTAATTGTGGAATATTTGCTAACTTATAGGGCTTAGGATTTCATTGTTTAGAGTAAAAATCGAACAGAGTAATAAAACACTTATTGGCGAAGAAGATTCAATATTGGGTACCTTACAACAGCTGTTGTTGGAAAATAAATCAACCTTTCTTCACATAGCTACTTAGATATACTATTATTTCGACTCTAATAGAGAGAGTGACGCACAAAACCAGATTTTCATAAAGTGAGAAAACTTTGACATTAATACGTTAATAAAAATAAAAAACGTTATAGGAGACCTTTAAAAAAATTATCAAGCTATTTTGTATTTTTTTAAAACTCATGAAAATTGGGGAATTTTTCTATCATCTTTTTAAAAATATTTTTTCATACGCAATATATATTTTTGATTTAGTGAATGAAAATATTGTATATATTTTTAGACATGTAATTAGGGAAGAAAGACTATATCGTATAAATTTAAGTTATGGAATGATCTTCGTTTTTGCAGTCAGTCAGTCACTAAATCAGTTCACGAAAAAAGATATATTATATAAATTTACGTAGAAAGAAAATCCAGTAAACATGTCATGGAAATACTACAGGTTGAGCGTACCAAACCATGTGAAACAGAACGAGAAGATATTATTAGATATGCATTAGTATTAGATTTGGTGATTTTAATCTTATGTTAGCGTACCAAACCATGTGAAACAGAGCGAGAAGATATTATTAGATATGTATTAGTATTGGATTTTGCGTTTTCAATTCTACGTAAAGATAAATATATTTCAAAATACATCATGGAATTCGTTGCATTGAAAATATATGCAGAAGATGAGCACTAGATATACGAATATTAATACGAAGTCAACTGTATTTATGTATAACTCCTCGTATGCTGGTAACTGATGAAACGAAGCTTAATGAATATAACAGATCAAGATATATGAAATAAAAAAAACATTTAAAACCAGAAACAAAAA